CGTATGTACCTAGTTATTGGCTATGTATACTTATATTTATTAGGTAGGTATTCATATTAAATGTGAACGTAACCAAACGCATGCGCTTATTGTAAAAGAAATAGAAAATAAAAGAGAAATAAAAAATATAAAAAGAATTAGAAGAATTTTTTATAATTTGAAGAATAAGTTTCTATAAAATGTCATTTATTATACATATCAAATCGATGTCATATTTAGTGAAACTATTACTTACAAAAAAACACTAGCTCTTAATTATAAGGTTACAGCAAGCGGTGTAAAGAAGTATTAGCATTCATTAAAGCATGTTAAAAAAAAACAATTGTTATCAGAGACATCAACGATAAAATGTCCCTTTATTTTTTTTATCAAACTTTTTTTGTTTCAAATCTTACGTGAACAAACAATTGATATAAAAACAGAAGCTGCAGTTGTAAGCAAATCAGTGCCACATTTGTTACAAAAAAACTTTTGAAAACTTTGCAATTGCATTGCATTCCATTTCAAATAGTAATAAAATTGATTCTGATACTCATTTTTCAACGCGTGTATGCTAAATGTCTTCGATAGAGTTTGACACAAATATCCGCTGTATGCAAGAAGTTTTTTTATAATTTATCGCTACTATTACATACATGTTAAGGATGCGTTGAATTAACCTGTATTGTCGGCAGTTTTTAAAACGATAACCTTTAGTCGATAGTTTTTTACTCAAATAAGTTCGTAAGCAATCATTGGAAACCAAATAACATAATTCTATTCACGAGAACAATGATGAGTTATAATTCAAATTGTTTTTTTTCAGCTGTAAAAAGTTTCTAATATTTTAGTTATCTTGTATTGTATTTTTATTACTTAGAAATTAATAAATTTTGTACTTAAAAGTTCCATCATAGTGAAAACTAAACAATGAGATAACAAATAAAGTTATCGGTCAAATACAATGTATGTGGCTGTTTAGAATTGAGTATTGTAATAGCGAGAATAGGTTTTTTCAATAATAATTGTAAAAGGTAATATTTTTAAATATTTTACGGCCGCACTCGGAGATGGATAACGATTACTCTTACTTAGTATTCCTTAGGACCTTGTCTTAATTAAATATTGAATGATTGTGAGTACGGCGGACAGTCAAATTCATTATTCCATTTTCAAATTATGTCTCATATATTACAACATTTAACTGTTATGGTAATTTGACTCTAGTGACTTTATCGATATGGGTGCTTTTGTTTTGTTTTAACCTTTTTCTAATAAGTAAAATTGTATTGCATTTATTTTTGTTTTAACAATATGTTTTGTTTTAGGTAGTTTCATAATTCGTTTTGTGGAATGCATAACTTTTTTCTTCGAAGTTACAACTAAATATTGAAATGAACTTAAAATTTTTACGTACATATTTCTTCCTAAATATCTTTCTTATTCGCTCTTGAAGTGATGCTGTATAGATTTTTTATAGTAATCTTACACAATTTTTTATACAAATAAAAGTTTGGTAAATTAATGAAAACTTATAATTTATATACTCAGTAAGAATAGTATAAAACAATTATAAAACTTAATCAAATGTTAAAACATATTTATGTTCTCACACATTTAAACTAAAAGTATAATTTTAAATTTTTAGGTAACAAATTAATGGCATGTTTTTTATTAAAATTAAATGCATACTGTATATTTAAATTGAATTGCAGATAATTTATATTTACAATATTAAAAAGATATATATTTTAATTCAATTCGTATATTCCTAAATTAAAATATGGTTTATTATTATTGTGTATCAAGACCTATACCTATATATGTATTATACATACTTATAAAACAGAAGCATATATTTTATTAGTACCAGGAAATATTTGAGTTATCTGTACCTACTATACCTATAGGGTGGAGAACATATAATATTTTGATGTATACATATATTAATAGTCGCTACATGCAATATAAAATAACTGTGAATGCAAAGTTGATGCGGTCGTTGGGGAACCGGCTGCCGTGCAAGGTGTCGCGGGTTCGATTCCCGCACGGAATATTTTCTGTGATCCACTAATTATTGTTGTTTCGGATCTAGTTACGATGTGTATGTGAATTTGTATGTTTATTAAATTATTACTTCATTGACACAAAAGGAAATACTAGTATTAGGAAAAGCGTTAATTAAAAATTAGTTGACTCGGAATGCAGTGGTTAGAAATAATATTTTCTAAACATTATGTATGTTCTTTAATTACCTTTCTTAATAAAAAATTTTGTTTTTTGAACAATAATTATAAACAAAATTGTACTACTGTAAACATCTTTATAAATGTAAAGAATAAATGTCCACTTTTAAATCGGACTTCACTGTACCATAGAAAGCGAGCCTCATATTCTTAGAACTTCCACCACGACCGCCATCAGCATCACCATTAACATTTCACTCATTTGAGAACAATAAAATATTTTATAATTGAATAAAAACAATAAGTACCTATATTGCAACTAGCAAGATGCGTGACAAAAGTTAAGAAGTTATCAATAAATTTCAGACAAAAGATGTAACACAGCGTTTCTAAGGCCGCAGCAGTTGGAATAAAATATCGATAGTCTTTATTGCGAATAGTTCTTAGAAAAATTAAGGAACGTTTAGCAGAAACGAGACACAAGAAAGAGAGTATTCAATATAATGTGATATATAAAATTCTCCTATCACAATGTTAGTTACCTTACGCATCCGAAACGGCTTTACTGACTTTAACCAAATTTTCTATCCATATTCTGTAGAGTACGAGAATCGGCTACTGTCTATTTTTCACAAAGAAAATATCTATTATGTGTACCTATATAACCATGCTATAAGACGGTAATATTTTAAAAGTTTTTTTTTTTAAGAAAACTATTTTATTTTTATAATTAGAACGGAAAAACTACGTTATCCATAAATATTAAAACTTTAAGGAGTATTAATTGAATATGTGTATCCTTTTTCATGTTTGTTCTAAATTTAAATGTTTCTTTTATCTCTAGCAACTACCATTGATCTCTGTATCTAAAGATGTCACTTATAGTAAATGTCCTTGGCATTTGTAAACTTACGCTTGAAGCATCTGAAAGCTGAAGTTCATTTGTTTGTTTATTTAAAACCGCTTATCCTAGGAACTGCTGGTTATAATTGATACAAAAATGTTGTGTTGTATAGACCATGTATCAAGGGAAACCATACCGTCGTAAATAGTTTTAAATAAATACGTTACATATTTTCTCTACATCTATATTATAGTTGTAAATACATATATATATACCTATTAAAAAGATAATTTATACACGACGCGCTTAACAAATATTAATTAATCTTTGTCTTGTAAAAAAGTGTCATAATTTATAAATGTATTACCTACATACGCTTGCTAATAAATTTAAAACGGAAATAAATGAATAAAAAACTTAAAATAGTAATTTTACAATAATTGCATTTATTGCAAATAAAAAACTATTTTAACTAGTCAAAGGTATATTTTTATAGTAGGTATGTAAGTAAGTAAATTACGATGAATGCGAAATAGTTTTTTGTTTTCAGTCTTTCTCAATAAATTATTACATGGCAAAATTTTACAGTTAATACTAATATTTATAATTTATATGGCACGTTATATATTTGCTAATAAACATATATTACTACAACAAGAACCGTAATAGAATATAAAATATCAATTAAAGTTTCAAAGCATATAACGGTTTTAAAAATAAAACTTAAAAGTGCATAACAGACCTTATTATCTTTAAGATAATTACTATTATTCGGTAAACAAATATTTGAACTGTTCATTAATTATTAAAAGTATGTAGGCTTTTCTATTTTGTTATAGGGCTTAAATTATAATTATATCATAAAGTTACAAGAATTAGATTTTTTTAATTCAGGCAAGGCAGTCAAAGTAAGGAGTTTAAACAACTAAAGAGTTCATTGTAGTTTTAATTTCAGGTATATCTTTCGTCTGTCATTTGTTGCTAAGTTTGAATTAAGAAAAAGAAAAACGATTCTATTTTCAAAAGAAAGTAGTTAATTTCTTTATGGTTACGTTCTCCATTAACTATTTAAACTTTCATGTTACAATTAGAGGTTTGTCCTCAAGATTGTTTACAGTTAAGTTTAATTCGGAAATCATTAATGTATACAATGCATATATCCTTGAGTACAATACTATTAAAACGTTAATTAGACCAATATTGAGCATACACAAAGAAAATTCAGTTACCGATTCGCAACTTTTTATGAAAGTTTAGTGCTACGCGCGCAGTTCCGCCGTTCTTTCTACCATCCGGTAGTGCAATGTTAATTTTCTATCGATAAAATGGTTTAAACAAAGGGTAAAACCATCGCTACATAGGCTGAGGATATTTTTTCCCATTCCTAATGTCACGCGATGTATGGAGCGGACAAAAGCTGCTTTTTAAATATTTACTGTACGTGCGATGCTCATACCCCCGCATGTGCGACACGCACAGCCGACGACACACTAGTTGCCACCTGCATGCATTTCTTAATCCTGTCTATTTCTCTACCAATTAACTGTAAAATATTAATATATCCACTATTACTATATTCGAAGTAAACAAAAACTAAATCTAATCCAATTTCTCCGCGCACTCCGTGCGACGTTACGATATTGTCCAACACTGACTCACGAACACACATTTTTTATACAAAACTCATCTATGCTTACATAAATGTTTATACAAGCTACTCTAAAAAAACGAAATCTCAGACAATCTAATTGCACGAAGGACTAAAAACCAGTTTGGCACTAAATACACAAAGGCGGGAAAACGATTCCTGGTGATCAACAAGAAGGCGGATATCAACGTCTTCAGTGCATCACGTACGTGTGACACTCAAGTTTGTCAGATTTCCTTCAGAGTGCAAGAGACAAGTTTTCGGGAAACTGCGGCCCGAGGGCGGCCTGTTGGAATTTTACATGAGTCAGTGGCGAGTGGGTTCTCACGTGTTTTCGACCTACCTATGTGTTACTGTAGTGTGCGCGTACAGCTGAAGTACAGGGGTGCGCTAGGGCGCGCTGGATCGTCGGCGGGCGGCGCACTAACACTCACATTCAAATATTCGTCTAACCTTGATGCGAATCGGCGCACTCCGGGTTCCATCCGACGACTGTCGTCAATACAGACGGGCTGAAGGGCTCGCTTCAGGTGTAACAGTGAAAGTGACACTGATGAGGATTAGTTGCGGATCGCGGGAAGGTGTCGCGGCGCGGGCGTCGGCGTCGGCGTGAAGCCGGGCGGCAGGCGCATCGGCGCGCCGCCACCGGCGGAGTGGTCGCGGGGCTGCGGCGCGGCGGCCGCGCTACATGTCACTGTGCGGCGAGCGCGCTCCTCGCGCCGTGGTCACCGACTCTCAGTGGCGTCGCCGTCCTACTGTCTGCCCGTCGGCCGGGACGGCGGCGCGCGTTGCACCGCCCCGCTGCACTCCGCCTGCCCCCCTGGCGCTATGCCCCCCTCGCTCGGCCCCCTCCTCCCGTCGCACTACACCCGCCCCGCCCCGAAGAATTTTCCGCATCGGGCGGGAAAAATCGATTGTGCAGCGAGCCCCGAATAATTTCGGCAAGACGCACGGCGCCCTTGCGTCCTCTCCGGCGGCCGACGCTGCCGCCGACGGTCAAGCGCATCGCCTTTCACCGAGCGACGTCGCCGAGCCCGCTCGCTGCCCGCCGCCACTTAGCTGCAATGCTATCTCTTACTATTATGCGTTTATATAACATCACTGATATTAATAATATCATTGTTATTGTCAAGGTTAGATAAAAACACTCAGATATATTTTTATCATTTCCAAAAAGCCGATGATAAATTACCTTAAACTAGTAGTGCACATGCATTCAAAAACGAATGTTACTTAACAATTCTTCAATGCTTGGTTTAAAAAAATGTTTGAAAAGAAAAGTCGCCTAAAGCTTTGACATTTCTGAAACGATACAGATTTTTCAAAACATTTCTACCGCTGTCTTTGCGATGGGTGTCTAGACTTGTTATAAAATATTCTTATTTTTTATCTTATTCTTAAACAAATAGTACAAATTTTAGTCAGTCAAAACTGAGTTTTTAATCAATTACATATAAAAAACTTCGTGCTCCAAAAAAAAAAATACCAGACGAAAAATGAGCATCAGATTCTTACCTCTAAAGAAAGTAGGCTTTGTTCTCTATGCAGTTTGTACTCAATAGTTTCGCCAACGCTTCAATTTCCGTTATCTTGAGACTTCTTCTGTAGCTGAAAACAAACGAATTGATTCCAAACTTGACTAACTCAAAAATAATAAAATAAAATAATTTCATTTATTGATTTAACAACTCAAAATTCAGACAAACATGACGTCAGAATACACAATCCCGAACCTACTCAACAAGTTCTTAAAAACATAAACGAAAAATATATTGAATTTGATTAGGTATGATGTACTGTAATTTTTGGTTTATTTATCCTATAGTTGACATTGATTGACAAATTTAGTGATTTTATGCGAATTTATATCGAAATGCGAAAGTTTGTTACGGAGGGGTTTCATAGTATATTTTTTTTAGTTTTATGATAGTAAGAAGGCTATACAATGATATAGAATGCTATAACAAATTGTATTAGGTAAAATAACTAAAAAGTATTAGGTACTATTGTTTTGAGTGTAATTGAAAGGAATGGGTGAATGACCTTTTATCAACTTGCAAAATATGTAATAAAAGTGGGGACCTAATAATTGGCTGCATGTTACCTACATAATTTGTTTTATCATAAATAAATGTTAATAATGTTGGTCCTCCTAATAATTAATAAATAATCGTTTGTAAATAATATATTGCAATTTTCTTTTGGCACACAACTTATTAATTTTACACATCTTGGTGTATCTTTATTAAAAAAATTAAAACAGTCGAAAATAACTTGACAGTATGGAAATACAACCTAAACTTTAAACTTAATTAAACAGGTGCAGGTGTAAAATAACAATAAAAAAGTATGTGCATAATAATATAATTGGAATGAGTATGCATATTACATTCCTTTTTACGTTTCTAAAAATGATTCAAACAGAGGAACCACGGTTCTTACTCGTTCTTCTTCATTAAAATGTACACTTATGAACGAGTTTCACAAGAGGACTGACCGACAACCTGAAACTTTTTAAGGTCATAAACAACTGATCATCGTGGCATAACTAGCTTTTGCCCGCGACTCCGTTCTGTTCTCGAATTCCAAACTATGACTGTACCAAATTTCACACAATATGTAAGAAATCGGTTCAGTAGATTAGGCGGAAGAAAAGACAGACAGACAGAAAGAGTTACTTTCGCATTTGTTTGGATTATAATATTAGTAGATACTGTGCAATTTTGGTCTTCAAACCGACTTTACGTAAAGTTAGGTGCAAACCGACTTTACGTTTTTTAACTAGGCCCAACTTATTACATAAAAAAACTAATGTCTAGTTTAGCCCTAAAGTTTTTAACTACTAATTTCACTGCCCTATTTGTTCTGGCATATGTTACTCGTACTTGTGCCGACTTTGGGACTAGGCATTCTTATCCTCTTTAATTAATGTTTCAAACTATCAATTCCAACTACCAAGCCACCTACTGTTAAGATTTTGGCACCCCTTTTATTAATATGAGTGCACTTACTTGTTATAAGACAATCAAAAGCTGATGATAATGATGATGATGATATTATGTTTGTTTTTTTATTAATTTAATTTCGAACTACTTGCTGAAAGCGGCTTGCCTGCAGTACTAGGGTAAAGAGTTTTTATTTTTATGTGATAAATCGTCCAACGAGCACACGGATTACCTGATGGTAAGCAATCAGCGCCGCCCATGGACATCGGCAATAACAGAGGCGTTACGAGTGCGTTGCCGACCTTTTGAGGATTCGGGATTTGGAGATTTAGGGATTGGGGAGAGATTAGAGGAAAGGAAGGATTTGGCCTCCGGTGACCTCAATCACAAGGCGAAACACAACACTATGGTTGTTTCATTGCGGTCTTCTGTTAGGCCGTGGTGTAACTCCGGTCGAGCCGACCCATTCGTGCCGAAGCATGGCTCTCCCACACTTAAATGGTATGTATAACTGGTATTCCTGACTTGAATGTTATTCCAGACTATAATCTATCTTTGCGCCAAATTTCATTCAGTAAGTTTCATTTAAAAGATTAACAAATATCTATAGCTGCCATTAACATTCACGTTTATGAAATATACGTAGTAACATTATTTCAGTTATCTGTCCTTGGTCATTGAACTTAAATCAAAGTAAAAAAATACTATTTCAGGAAAAAAATATACAAAAGAGAAATCATTTATTTAAACTCCTGTTGATTACAAAATCTTAATAAATCCAAAAAAACTGATGAAATTATGCCACTACAATAAAAAAAACTGTTATTTAAAATTCTCAATTTCTTACCCAATATTTTAGTTTAATTCGTTAATTATCGCGACATCGATTGCGCTAGCGCAGCACAGCCTGTAAAATTGCGTCGCTGATTGGCTACGAATGCCAACGGCGATTGGTGAAGACAAATCTAGAAAAACGTAGTAAGCAATCTTACTTACCTTACCTATTATACACTATTTTATTTCTTAGAAATCTTACTTTTTAAATGTTTTTTGCATAGTTGCTCTAGTGATGGTAGACAACTTTAGGTAAACTATTTGTGTGTGCACGAATTTTTTTATCGTTTTCATATAATTTATTGATAGTAGCATCTCAAACTATAAGAATTCAAAATTCTTCTAATTTTGAATTCTTATAGTATTCTTTTTATAATTGGTGCTGGCCACTAATATTTTCACCTTGGTAATATTCTGAATCTATTAACCTCGCTTCTACTAACTGCAGATTAGTGGCAGCGATTGCTACGTGTGGATAGTATTTTATTGTCTCCATAATTGAATTAAAAATAAATAAATACGCATGTATTTTATTTATTATTTGTGAAAATTTAATAAATAGCATATTTTATTTTTTATTCATGTTATTTAATTATTTAATATATTTTTGTCATAGAAATAAAAAGTCGCATTAGGGAACGTCATGTATTTCATTCGATAGTATTTTTTGCCTTGATTTTTTTTTATAATAGACCTCATCTCCCTTGTTTGAAGAGCATGTAGGTACTTATGCAATGAGCAAAATGAGCATTTACGCGATTTAATTTGACGCGAAACATAAGTTTGAATAGAACTATGAATTAAAAAATGTACTTAGTAAATTTATTTCTTTTATCAGTCCTTCGGGTGGTTGTTTTTTTTCCTGACGACTTACCTACATTGACCTATAAAATAAAAAATTACATATATTGCTAATGACATTAAATTACCTAGGTGATAAGGTGATTTTCTAAACAAAAGATAAATCTAAAATGTTTTTCCAAAAGCTTAACAGTAAAAAAAAATTAAATAATAAAAAAGTATTATTTATTAAAACTAAAATCATTATGCACTGCACTGTTCTAACCTAGAAAAGTCAGTTAAAATAGTAAATAATTATAGTATTACAATATTGCGTTGCAACGATTCATTTCAAAAATTTTAACGTAGGTCGTAATAAATTTTAAGGCAAGCACAATTTCAATTCTTAGAATATTACAACAGTTGTTCGGTGTTGAGTTTCGTATTTATAAGTACCGAAGTATTTGTAAATGCAGAAATTTACATTATAAATAGTGCCTACTCGTAATGGTGTTAAGCGTCATTATTGGTTAGCTATCATTTCTTAATAGACACCTGCATCTACGTATAATGAACTATTATACTAAACTATACTGAACGCATTTTGCGCCATTAACGATAGATATACCTAACTTTATATTTTTAAATTTGGAACGTTGATTTTTTTTTATTCGGTGAAAACGTTGTTGCTTATTCTCTTATATTTATTATAATAAATAATAAATATAAGAGAATGCAAAAAGATCTTACTACTTAATTTATAATAAAAATAATTATTTTTATAATGAAATAAATTCATTTCATTATAATGAAATGAATTTATTAAACTTTGTGTAATTTTGTAATTACATAGGTAATTATTTTTGAATATTTACAAGTAAATAGGTACATCTATGTTTTCATTACTTATGATTATAATTACTTATAATAAGCTCGATTAAATATTAACGAGTTAATTAAAGTAAAAGTTCGTACAAATTAGTAGAAAAACATGATAATCAGAGTAATTACTATCTTATTTTCTTTACCCAACCTTTTTTTAATTATTCACCCTAAGAATTCATTCGGAAACCATGACCTTAGGTACACCTATCACAATAATATTTCAAGTCAATATAGTATAATTAATTTCAATAGCTATAAATCGGTATGTAAGAAATCATATTATTATGTGATATGATTTTTTAGCTAGGGCCCTTTAGGACTGATGTTCATCCGGTGACCGCGACCTAGCCCCAGAGCAGGAGAAGGAACGGGGGTGTTTTTAGCCAGTAAGAATCTGACACTCCCTCTCGCCCGATCCTGGGTGGGAGAAGACATCTGATGACTTTCCCCTCACAAAAAAAATCGATGACACAGAAGAAAATGCTAAAAAAAACAAAAGAAATTTTCAGACTTGGCAGACAAGAACATTTAAATATGTACAAATTATTAGATTTTAAAATAAATAAAGTAGAAAAACATAACTATAAGTACATAAATACAGCATGTTAGTACCTACGTATAAATAC